GTAAACCATTTTGTTGATATTTATGCTTAACTGGTAATAAATTTTCTTTCCAAAATAATAAATTTGCATTTATTACATCTTTTATATTTAACCTGATGGACACTGATGATTCTTGCGTTCTCCACAATTATATGGAAAAATCGAAAAATCACTCTCTCTTGCATTCCATCCTCTTATATCAGCTGTATTCATGCATATTTTGGCGTATATTTAACATGGATCGATATAGCTATGCCAATGAACATGTCGTTTCACAGCTGTATATTGACACGACAGAACGAAAAAGAAATTTTTTCGTTCTGTATGTCTTCAATTGAAGACAATCGGTGTTCAAGAGGTTAAATATAATTTATCTATATCAATATCATAGAAAATATCACCAACTTGAGATGATTTAAAAATACTTGTACATGTTATAAAAACATCAATGATGACCAACATTTGTCGTATAAATGATACTTCAGTTACGAGAAGTTCATGAATTGCTCTTTGCTGAAGTATCATTTTTTCAGATATCAACTAAAAGCAAAAGAACAAACACATACGTTAATTATATTTAATAAAATATGTAGAGATGGTGATTCTGTTGTCTATTGTACCGTTCGAAATTAAAGTCGACGTATCTGTCGATCATGCTCTGTGTATACAGCTAAAATCAAATTTCTATCTATTATCATTTTGTTTTCTGTTCTGCTAGAAACGAAAACATATCGTTTTATAAAACATGAATTTCTATTTGGAGCTTCAGAAAAGTTGAAAAAAGTGTATCATCTCTCCATTGACCTTACTGTAAAGACAATAAACAATCTTGGTCAGATCTTTTTCCATAAAAAGTATTTACAGATCTGAGTATTATCGGTTACTGAAAACTATAAACTACTAACTATTTTTCTTAGTGAGTAATTTACATTTTATTAGACATGTATTGAAGCGTGACCTATAACTTTTCTTGTTTATTCTTGCTTTGAAAAAAGTCTTGAGACAACAGAATGATGCATGTATTTTTTTTATCTGGTTAATAACTTACCAATTGAGATTGTTCTTTTATAAATTGTCGCCACTGTTCTTCAATAAATAAATCATATTGATCATTTGATATATTCAATTGAGACAGTTTTGGTATACCATATGTCAACCATTGATTACATTTTTGATGAAAAAATATTTCATTTTTATTTGCACCGGTTTTGTACTTGTTCTAAAATTAGTATTATATTAGATCATATCAATATTTATATATATATATATATATTCTTACTTGATTAAATGTACCAGTAGTAATTAAGTTTGAGAATTTTAAATTTATTTGTTTCATCAGATTGTTGTTGTGATGGTTCAGGATCTTGATTTTCATCATTTCCTGGCATTAAACAACGAGTTAATAGATGTTTTGATTTTGATTTTGATTTCTATGTTAAGAAAAAAAAACAACAGAAAAGATTAAAATTATGAATGTATTTATTATTATTTTTTCTATCGATTTGATGTCTCGAATGTTGCACTAGATTTGTACTTAAAGATATTAAAATTACGAAATAATAAAAATAATTAACAGAAGACAAAACTTTTTCAGCCTTTATGAATAGCCATACAGAGTCTTATTATAAATGAGATAAGTCGTCCGAACTCAAGATATATAAAAATACGACAGCTCATAATTTAAATGTATTTATTTACAGTAGCCAATAAGGTTTTTATTTATTGATTAATGACGATTATCGAAAATAAGTATCCATTAAAAAGAAAAAGAAATCAGAAAGGGAAGGATCTACATGTATGGATCTATTATTATATGTATAAACCATGATAAGAAGGTCACATTTCGTTTCTTATGTTTTACTATTATTCATAATAGAAGAAAAATAATAATATCAATCATATGCCAGAGGCGGGCAAGTACGGACTTTTTCGAGTACGAGTCGAGTACAAGTACTGCCAAAATCGCACTTGAGTACACTCGAGTACTTAATCATATGTAACTCAAAATCAGATTTATGTTGCGTTAAACATTGTAGAGGAAACAGTTGTTAGCCACCTATTCATTGACTTCGTTCCGATCATTCGCTATTATGACTTCAGTATTAATGGGAAAGCAACTGATCTGCTTCTTACATTAATGTCCGAAAAAAATTTTCAATTTCTAACTGGTATCCCATCGACAGTTCACAGAAAAAGAGAAAAAAAGAGATGTAACATTTTGGCTTTTAAAACGTAATAAATGCGGAAACTTCGGATTTAAATCCGAGAGTTATGTGTACTTCAAAAAGTGAATCATACAAATCAATCATCCTAGACTGTCTGAATATCAAAATTATACTGTGAAATCTACCATTTATAATGTTGATTTCTATTGCGCGTTGCCAAACCAATAGGACATGGGACCGAATACAGCTCAAGTCTGAACTTTTTCCCTTGATTTACCCTAAGAAAGTCGTTTTTCCTATAACTTCATTTCTATTGGTCACTGCACAACTAATAGTATTTCGATGGAAGTGCAGTACACATTCGAGTTCTCCATATCTGAAAACCTCGAAGTATCATCAGTGTCACCGGAAGATAAAGCTCTATTTGCGGATCAATTAGATTGTGGACCAAAATATAACCTAGTTCTCTTTAATTATCCTTGTGATTGCTAAGTCAACCTTCTTGTTTCTTTATGTTTTATATATCATTTTGTAGTTCTTGAAATTCTCTATCGAATGGTATATAATAGTTGGGGTTTTAATTGACTATGATAGGAAAAGTCTTTTACGAAAGTCGCGATGGGTCCATTTTTCCACAGAAAGCTATATGGAAAAATGGGTATTTTTACAATAACTCAGGAACGGCTCGGCCGATCCTTCTCATCTTTGAACTCGACCGAGACATTGTCAAGACTAAGCTGTGTAGAAAGTTTCATCGCAATCTGACTCTGGCGTCAAAAGTTATCATGTAAACAGCCAACCGGACGGACGGACACACTGACTATTCTATAGTGTACTCACTTTTTGAGTACACAAAAGTATGATTCAGTTCAAAACTAATATCAGATTCAGAATCAGCGTTAAAAACTGAGTCGATTTATATATTTTGTGAATAATTATGAGCAAAAAAGTTTTTTTCGAAAAATCCCCGTACCCCCCCTCAGGGATGATCTGGTCAAAAATCACAATTTTTTCGATAACTCAGCCATTTCTTGGCGCATCCTTCTCATCTTCGAACTCGACCGAGATATTGTCAAGACTAAGCTGTGTAGAAAATTTCATCGCAATCTGACTCTCCTTTCGAAAGTTATCGTGTCAACGGCCGAACGGACGGACACACAGACCGATTTTAGTAGTGTACTCACTTTTTGAGTACACTAAAAAAGGCTGCCGCGAGGTTCAAATGTCAAAAAAATAGGAGCACTGTTACTATAAATTCAATACAGACTCCAAAAAAGTTGAAAAATGAATGCGATTGGTAGCCGATCACGTGTGTGATTATGCACTTATTATCGACCTCAGAAGAGAGGGCTGCAAAACGACAAGAGACACAAAAGGCAGGGTCTGTATCTAAGGCACTTAACTGTGATATCACTTTATCCAAATAGTTGTAGACAAATAAATAGAAGTTAAAAAATGATCTCATATCCAAAATGCGTTTGGTTTATAATATTATAAGAGTAGAAAGATCTAAGAAAACAGAAAAAGACACAGTAAATAGCACATATTTATAAGACGAGAAAACACGATACGTTCAGTTCAAAACAAAAGTTTCAGTTTTCTCTCTCAAATCTGTCATCGGGATCTCAACCATCGATAGTAAAACTTCTCCCTGTAAACACAAAATATCGCTTCTGATCAAGTTTGCAGATCCGGGATTCAATTGATATTGAGTAATATATAAAAAAATTGTACTTGGAGGAAATTTTGATCCCCGAATATAATACGGTTTAGTTTTCACAATTTTTCATGAAATTCTACTCAAAATGAAAAAATCTTACGTTTTTAAAGCTATATGACACAATGAATTGTTATCGAAATTCATGAAAGGTTATCATTAGATCATCTTTGAGAAGATGAATGATGCAGAAACTATTGGTGAATATGAAGTAACATTTGGCGAAACTTTTTGTATCTCGCGACATTTTTTAAGCTTTAATGGATGATTCAAGTTTCGTTTATTGTGCTAACTATTGTCAGCGTCAGAATTAAGAATGGGTTAGTGTAAGATGAATATCTCAAGAATGACACTAGCTAGCGATCTGTGCT